AAAAAAAAAAAAATAATAAAAAAAAACAAAAACATTTAGTCCTAGCCATTTCGAATTATCGGGACTTGACTGTATTATATGTATATCATTTAGCACCCCTTGAAGTTCTTTACATTTTTCAATTCAATCTTCAATTCTCGCTTTCATTTCTTTCGCGCTGCCGTTGCAGGTTTCCTTTTCGCTTTGTATTTAAATTATATAATTCTTCAACTGTTTTGACACATTTCTTAATGGCACTTTGCACACACACACACACACACACACACACACACATCGATGGCAGTCGCACGAGTCGGGTCTGGCCAAGCCAAGGAGACAAGAAGAGAAATGATATTGTAATTGGCAATCGCTGTCGTGCATAAATCACATGCATAAATTCAACCTACGGACATTTTGAAGCGACACCAACGCAACGCTTTGCAGAACCCCATTCCGCCCTTCCACTCACTCCACCTCCCCACTGCTCCCTCTCTCTCTCTTTCTGTCCGTCTAATCGTGCTCGTCCTCGTTGCGGTCGTTAGTTGAAGTCAATGTTGATATCCAATTGGAAAATTTTTCATTAACTAATTGAACATTTTATGGCAGCTCGGGTCGGACTTGTGCCTGTAGTTGGCGCCAATATTGATGGAGGGGTGTGGGGGTGCGGGGGGTGGTTGCAACAGCCTAATCTGCGGCAGGACTACATGAGCAGAACGAAAGAATGAAATGAAAAGGGAAGCAGCAAAAAAAGAAACAGGCCATGGCAAAGCAGACACGAAAGGACGTTGGCCCAAATGAAACTAACAAACTAGCAAACAAACACACACACACAAACACACACATACACGGACACATTCTTCTTTCGGTTTGATAATTTACGAGGACACGCTTTGGTCAAACTGCCCTCGCATTTAGCTGTGCTTCGCTTCGGCAACCGCCCCCGCCTCCGTCCCCTCCCCGCCCCCGCCCACTGACTGCAAATTTGCATAACTGTCTGAGCGAAGAGCGCGCCATGGCGGATATTAAACATTAGCGCGTGCTGGACAGCACATCAAGTCCTCTGCCTGCTCCCCCCACCCCCT